TAATATAGAGAACAACAAACATCTGGTCACAGGGTCAGTCCGAGCCGAGGTACTGAAATGGTTTGTATGATCCTTTAATGTTTCTGTTCAGCTTTAACGGGGCTTCTGCTCTCGCTCGGCTGCATTGTCAAATAGATTTGAAAAGTCTGCTGTAAAAGGGAAGCTCGGTGTAAGAACGTAGTAGTTAACTTTATGCTCGGTCCTTCAGTAGTATGTGTTGTATTATTGCTGAAGCTTGTCACTTTTTTTTTTTTTTTTTTTGCTTCTTTTTAGGGGTGAAGATGTAACAGAATTTCAGCCTCCCCCCGATTATATACTAATGGCTGATTGCATTTACTATGAGGAGGTAAATGAGGACTTTGCAAAACCCCTACGGAAAGCTCCTTGGGAAGAGTGTGGGTTCACTGCGAGAAGTGTTCAAATAAATATTGTGCTTGGGTCTTCATCCCCATGGTTTAGAGGAATAAGTAGAACAAGTCTGGAAAAGGCATTTTTAACAAATTCAAGGCCAAAAAAACCCAAACTTAATATTTATGCCCCCCTGCCCCCCCTTTTTTTTTTTTTACATTGGGAACACACTATGAAGCAAAACATTGTGACGGATAGTTGTGAACTGTTTAATGCATTAGTAATCGAAATTTGATAGTGCTATATCTGCGTTGCTTGGGTTGTCCTCACGATTGCCTTGGGAAGGCAAAAGGAGAAATCACGCTCCAGATCAGTGGCTGTTGTAGTCTGCCCCATCTCCTCAGCTGGGGTTCTGTAGGATGCGCACAGAGAGTGAACAGAAGTTGCAAGAAAAGGGAAATGACCTGAAGAACCCCATGTCCCAGTGCCCTTTCAGTGGTCTTACCAGCCCCTTGCATTGTGTGTTGGTCCTGTTCCTATAGGTTGTGATCTGGATCTGTGCCGTGTTTCAGGAACGGTTGAGAAAACTCTTACTTTTGAAACGTGTCAAGAAATAGTCATTGTTGTGTGCCTCAAGGAAATGCCCACTCAGCAGTGTGGGATGTTTTTGCCTTCGATGCTAGTTCAGTTTCCTTGGTCGATCTGTGAAACTCTTCTCTCCTATGCGGTCTCCCTTTCTCCTCTGCTTTCCAGTGATGTTAGTTCAGTTTCCTTGGTCGGTCTGTGAAACTCTTCTCTCCTCTGCGGTCTCCCTTTCTCCTCTGCTTTCCAGCTTGCCCCCATGTTCTTTTTGTCCCAGTTAAAGTACTAAAAATAACTCCCTGAAAAGCAAAACTGGAAAGTTCTCTCTTGGGTGAAGACTTTCTCTAGTTAGAGGGTATCGTACCAGTAAAATGAACTTGAAATCTAAGTGGGAAATACTTAACCTCTTTTGGGCAGTCGTTAGAACCGTTACTGAAGACGCTGAAAGACCTCACTGGCCCCGATACGTGCGTCTTGTGCTGTTATGAACAGAGGACCATGGGAAAGAATCCTGAAATTGAGAGAAAATACTTTGAGGTAAGTGTTTTTAACGTGTGCTTTTTGAACACTAGGAAAATAGCTTGGATACGGGAGGTGTTTGTATTGGATCAGCTGAACGTCAGCGGTAGTTGCCCCACGTACAAATTCAGGTTGACTGCACAAAGTAGAGTTTGTAGCAGGAGAAGCACCTTTGTCTTTAGATGGGGCAGAAAATGCGGATGGTGACTTGAAGTTTCTAGAGACTTTCTGGGTACTTAACTGAGCTTTTCTTCCCTCAGAAGGTCAAACTAACCTTTCTTGCCTTACTAATCTTAACTGTATCAATGCTTTTGATCCAGACAGCCAGACTTGCATAGGTTGTTAAGAGCCTCTCTAGCTTGTGCGACCTTCCAGATTTGCAAAAGGGCCACCGTACATGAGGCAATCTCTCTCAAAATCAAAACAATCATTTTTGTAGGAGCAGGTGAATTAGCAGTTGCTTGCTGCCTTCTTTCTGCAGTGGTCGTCTTGACGTTACCAGAGGTTATTGGGAGCATTGAAAATTAAGTCTGGTGAAAATGTATTCCCTTTTAGCATGTTCCATTGAAAGCAGAGGGAAAATAGAGCTCAAGTTTTCCAGAGTAGCTCAGGAGCTGAAGACTGCTAAGTGATATACCTGCTTTTGCAAAAATGTCCCCCTCTACTAGAGAGAGCATTAATAGGTGATGTAATTAAATAATCCGGCTGTATCTTCTGTGCAGGTAAAGAAAAGGAGCACAGGTAATAGCCGAATCCCTCCTGAGGCTGTGGGGACGACGGTCAGTGCAGGATTTAACTCCGCACCTGGGAAGTCTGCTGAAAAGCAGCCCTTGTGCAGGAGTACTGGATTATACATAATAATAATACTACAAAAAAAGAGGAAGGGCAAGAATTCCAGGGCGATTTGTACATGTTAATAAAAGCACCTCTTTGATAATTAGCCATGCCTCGAACTCTTGTGGGGACCTGACTGTGAGGAGAGTTGCTATAATTGGGATCAGCTCTGATGAGGTGCCGCTCCCGCAGTAAACACAATAGGTGTAGGTGTTTCTGGATGATTTTGGCTTTCTTGTAATTTATTTCCTTCCTTAGCTTGCCAGGGTTCAGCCAAGTTAATCTGAGCACATTGCAGAGTCGATGCTGGGGGTTTTTTAGCTTGCTTTTTTTTTTTCTCCCCCTCCTCCTCCCCTCCAGTTGAGGAGGTTGGCAGACAGAGGCAGGTGCTGTGGTTTGGCTTAGCACTTTGGAGACTGGAGGAAGCAAACTGTTTTATTCACAAGCTTTTAGGTTTTTCTTACATGTTGCAGGGTGTCTGTAGCTTTGAATTGGCACTGGAGGAGTTAAAATGAGGGTGAATGTGCTGCATGGGGGGAAAAACGGCTTGCGTGTTTGTAGAGGCCTTTAGTGGTATGGTCTGAGCGTGGTGGTTCCAGCCTCCTAAGGCTTCTTGCCCTCACGTGGGGATATTATGGGACCTTTTTAACTCAACATGCGTCGTTCAAAAGGGCAGTCTCATTTGAATCGTTTTGTGTGTTCTCTGACAACCAGCTGCTTCAGATGGACTTTGAGCTGGAAAAAATTCCCCTGGATAAGCACGACGAGGAGTATCGCAGCGAAGACATTCACATCATGAATATCCACAGGAAACGAACGGTGAGTTAATTTAACTGGCGCAGCGAGTGCTGCCAGGAATTCACAGAGCTGCTGTTTACTTGGCATCGTCTGAGCGTTCCAGGGGTGAAGCTCTGAACCGACTGTGAAATACCACGAGGGACCCTGCGAAACTGCAGACCAGAACCGTGCTTGTACAAAGGAGCTCCTTTGTTCCAAACCCCAGCGCTCTGCCAGGTGCCAGCCTTTGTCTTCAGCAGGAAAAAAAAACACGCTGACTTTCTCTTCTGCTTCCACACTGCAGTGCAGTGGGATCTCAAAACTGGAGTTTTGAGCCACCAAAGTGATAAAAATAATAACGCCCTCTGCGGCTTTTAGTCCTGTGGGGTTTGCTGTGCAGCCCTCTCCCCAAAACCGGTCTCTAGAGGTTGCACTTAGCACCTGTCCAGCTTGGTTAGATCGTTTTTTGGTTAATTGATGGAGCAGACAGTTACACATGAAGAAAATATTTTGCATATTGTGCTGACAGCACGTGTGGGTCCAGCACTTAAACAAATCGGGCCACTTAAAGATCCGTACTTTTCTCTTAAAATCTCTTCACAGAGTTTTCCATCATGAGATCTTTGACCACAGTATCTGTCCTCTGGCAGCTGGTAGAGCTCTGGAGAAGAGGGAGAGGGTATAGAATAACACCGCAGAGGGACAGTCTGCGCTGTGGTTTGTGACTCATCTACAGAAAATGGCTTCTCGATGGTGGACTTGGCATGAGGCACCAGAAGAAGTGGGCTCGTTAGACTCGATCGCTGATCACGCCTTCCAGGAGGACAGATGTGAGCTGTTGATGTCTGCAGGCTGAGGCAGAGGAGGGCAGAAAACGGAACGGGAGCTTCACCCAGAGCAGCGCTGGGTGCCGGTTCTGGTTACCTGTGCGGGGCGGCCACTCGTTCGAGCAGCGAGCGGCTTGCCGAGCACCGACGGAGCAGATCCAAGGACACCGCACTGAGGTCTCTGTGAGGAGAAAACTCAGCGAGCGGGCTCAGTCACGCAGCCCCCGATAGCCAGTCAATAAAACTTTTGCACTTGAGACAGGTCTCAGATGGTGGGGTTTGTTGGTGGTTTGGTTTTTGTTTTCCCAGCCTGTGGTTTTGACATCATTGCTGCGTCGCCGAGGTGCTGGGAGTCTCACTCCAGCAGCAGGGGCTGTCGTGGTGGTAGGTACTACGCAGATACAACATGCAGATGGTACCTGCGCCTGTGCAAAATTGTTCTTCCTTTTGATTTCACCTGCGCTTTTCTGGTATAAGGATCTGCTGCGTTAAAGTTTGACACCTTCAAACGATTCTGGTGAGCAGGTTCGTCGTTGCTGTCGCTGTTCCTCACCGAGCTGCCTCTTGCTGTGCAGCGATGGCTTTGAGATTTAATTTCAAAGGAGATCTCACTTCTCTGTAGTGGAAGCGGCCGTGGCTGCCTGCGCCATCCCGCAGCCCGTGAAAGTAGGTCTGCTGCGACAAGGTGCTGCTCAACGTGAATTATAACAGCCTGTTGTAATTCCTCACGCATGCTGCGTGCCGCACGAGTGGTCCCTTCATCAGAAACCTGAGTATTTAAGCTAAACCTGCTGGGTTTTCTCAAAACCTCGGCTGTTGGGTTTGGGGGAGCTTTGTTCACAGGCACCCAGGCGCTTTCTGGACCTGCCCTGTCTTCGGGCTCCCTTCGTCTCCAGGACGAGAGTTCCTTGCAAACCTCACACTTTATAAGATGCCGTCCTGGCTTGCAGTGCACAACAGCGATGATTGCTGAACGCACGGCAAAGCCAGAATGTAATTTGGCATAACCGCACGCGTTATTTGTTAACTCCTTAATTAACCGGTGGCCCGCAGGAAGGTATTTACTGACGTGTTTGTGCCAACATGGCTTTCCTGGTGGAAACTTCTTCCAGAAGAGTTGTCCGAAGCCGCGCTGTAAGGATAATGCCAGAGCTGTGATGTTTTCTGGGAGCATCTCCCTGCGGACGCAGCCTCTTTGCTGACGGCAGACCCCCGGGAGGGGAGAGCTGCTCGGCACGGGGCCGTGCCGAAATCCCAGCGGTGGTGGGGATGCTGTGCCGGAGCATGAGCGGGATGGTGTCGCGCCGGGGCAGCTCAGGGGTGCTGAGGGTGGCTGGGGGTGGTACGGGGTGGGTGGGGGGTACAGCGTTTCTGAGGGTTTGGTGCTGACGGAATAATGGTGTTTTATCTCCGGGGTGTGTGATTTCAGCACTTCCTTTTACAGGCGGGCGCGGATCTCTTGGGCAGAAGAAAAAAGGGAGGAAGTCAGCTTTTCGCTTCCCCGCGCGCCGCCGCTGGCTGCTCCTCTCTGCCCTCAACTTTGCGCCCGTAACTCTCGAATTGTGAGTGTCGTTGGGCGAGAGGGACCTTGGGGG